TACTAAATGTTTTGCAAATACTACTATTACATTACGTATCAAAGTTAGCTATAAGATTCGTAACGAATTGACCGCTTGTCCTTATCTTGAAGGCATTTGATTAGAAGTGCCTTGAAGATTCATTAGATAGTTTCTATTTATGAGACTATATGTGAAAATTAAAAATTCTTGCACTCGATGGTATTTATTATTTTATCATAATAGCTTCTAGGTTCAGTACCTAGATAGTAGCGATCTCGCCCGATACTAATATTTAACCAATCAGAAATTATTACATTGTAATCTCGATTTGTCACTCGTTACTTCGATTTCTATACGATTGATAGATTCGTGTATTTTAATGTTATTATTACATTTGTAATCTAAGAGGTCCGCCGACTGCAATGACAATTTTGATTAGCCAAGCCATAATACTCGAATAACTTGTTTCTTTTATTTTAAGATGGAATTTGGTAGTCGTTTTATTATATTATATATATATATATATTTTTTTTTTTAATATAAAAATATAATAAAACATTCCAATCATAAATCGCTGATTCATATAACTGCCATTATTTTCTTTTTAGGGCATTCCGGAGTTGACTCAGTTAATAATAATTAAGCTGCTATCCTCCTATCTCTATCAAAATAAATTTTAATTGTGATTTTCACGCTATTGCATAAGCACCACCGACAAAAGAATAACGTGATACGATAAAAATCATCGGTTTATTTATTGATGCAGTTATATTATTATAGCCTTGTGTTTGTTTAATCGAAACTTATACAATATTTATAACGAGTTATTGTTATGTTATGCAGTGCCGGTCACTACAAGAGAACTATTTACGTATCTTCTATGAATAGCGCGTGACATCATTGTATGTTTTGACAGCGCTATTGAAATCATGTTTCTAGCCCAAAGTACCAATTTTTTTTTTACAAAAAACTTATAGGTAGTACCTTTTTTGTAATAATTAATTTTAATATTGTTATTATTCAAAAGTTCTCAATACCTACATTATAAATTATTGAAATAGTTTGGAAGTAAGAACGCTCTTATGGTATGCTAAATGTTACTACATTTACGTAGGCAGGTATTCGTTTATCTGAAGCTTGCTGAATTTGTCCAAGGCCAGTGCAAAGAAACCTGTGTAAATTATTCAAGCCATGGATTTCATTGTTTTTGAACCTTCATGTCTTATTCAGTTGTAGAGTTTGTTTTTGTATTTCAGTAGGTTATTGAAAGTAGGAAACCGATTTTGTTAACGACATATATGGTAAACTGACTCGTTACCGAAGTATTAATGCTGGTATTACACAATTGGAAAGGAGTGTGAATATGAATTATAATAAACAAGAAATATGCCTTAAAAAAACACATGGAGTCTGATTCTGATTGTTTACCTGTCACAAATTGTCCTTTTGCAGAAACTGCGGTGAAATTGTTAAGTTAGCATTATTTGTTTGGTCTACCAACGGTAACTACATTAAAGAATGCATTAATTATAAACAATAAAGTCACAGCTTGCTTATCAATAATCGACGGTGTTACAAGTTTAATATTAGCTTATACAACATCCATCGACGATATCATCACAGAAGTGTTCTCTGTAGGAAGGATAAAAAATTCGAGTATTTGATATCGTAATTTAGCCACCGTAATAAATGTTGAGTTATAAAATAGGAGCAGTAGCGGTGCTGTTGAACTATTGTAGACACTTAATTGAGTTCACGTTACATCTCAATAACAAATCAACAAGTGCATTGCGTTGCGATAATGTAGGTCTATGCATAGTAGTGTTTCCATCCAACCTTGTGCGACCGCATTAGAATTGACGGTGCATTAATCTCAATTAAGCACCTGTACTGCATGTCAGTTGGATATGGTAGTTTTATTACAAGGACTAATGTGGTAAGAAGCCGACAGAGTTTTTGGGATAGACCTAAGTTTATCGATAAAAGTCCTATAGTGAAAAGTTTTGACTGGTCTACTTTGAATACTACAAATTGTCTAAAATATTACTTAACTGCAAGTTTTCTAAAGAACTCGAAATAAATAAAATAATTGACGTTATATTCGTGTTTTATCTATAAAATGTTGTGTTCTTGTACGTCTTATATTCTGAATTTCTGATGATCGATATTTGGTCAATACATTAAATGGAAACGAGAAAATTTTGGTGTCACCAAATACGTTTATTTTTTATAATGTACCAGTTCCAATAGAAAAATGAGGTTAAGTATGATGTACTTGATTGGAGTAGCCATTAAGAAAAGTTACGGTAGGTTGTAATTTTCTTTGGTGCGCAGTAGTTTAGTTCCAGTCTAATGACAATTGGTAGGTATTATTAACATCAATTGTGTGTTACTATCGTCAATTGAACGGCTACGAAACGTTTTGTTTGCGGTTGATAATTTATCGGTGTATCCTACTATGACAATGGTCAATGGAATCTTCGTTCTTGTTATACCATATACTATGCGTTTGCGTAAATATCCTATACAGGACAGACTAGCAGGAGTGAGTGAAACAGCTATAATTACTTACAAGTATTTCTTTTAAAACAACTCTGTATCTATTTTAATGAATTTCAATAGTCAAATTGATATATGATTGTCGGATTACTTGCGGAGTTGGCAGAGACAATTGAGCGCTACTATCACGTCTTTACACGTTTCCCTATCCATTTGTATAAAATTTTAAGGCATAACATAACAAGGTATACTTTTATTTGTCCTTATTGTGCTTACGCATATTTTTTAAGCATAAAGTCTTAAAGAATAAATTTAAAAATTTGTATATTTTGCCAGTCGGCAGCTGCCGTCGCGTACCCTAGCTTCGCCATTTTGTTTTGATGACAGCACTAATGAATCAGTTAGGATACAAACTGTTATAGACGTATGCGAAAATCAATCGAACTATCAAACCACGTCCTTCGGCTGTGTTGAATAACTTGTCATTATATAAAAAAAAGTTCAAAAACTAAAACCCAACTATGGTTAAACATAACAGAACTAACTGTTGTGGCATACGACTACGCTGTCCTTAGGTCATCGCTATTATAATTTATTTATATATATATATTTGAAATCGATATAACAAAAAAAAAAAACATTTGATACACTACATGGAATGATTGAATAATATGATTTTTTAGTTTATAACTTTATGCTCATTAAAGGGGGCTGTTCCTATTTTATGTAACATCACATAGCCTGTAGAATGTGGACAACTAAGACGCTTTTAACGATACCTCATTTGTCCAGTAATTATGAGTAGTTTCGAAGTTATAAGAGATCAGATGAACATTCTTACATACATACTGATGAAAACATACTCCCCCTTTTCGATGCGCCGTAGTCGGGTAATTAGAGAATGTCCTGATCAGAGAATTTAATCAAGGAATAGGTGTTTATCTTTTTAAATCTGTATTATCACTAGGGTATTAATCATTTAACGTTGATCAATATTTGACGTTTGATAAGATTACATTTGATTATGTTATTAAATAACTAAATTACTTTGCTTCAAACTTGTATTGTGTCAGAATTGCTGAGATTGTTTATTCAATATCAAATTAAAATAATGTCTCTACTCGTACTCAGATATTTAGATTTTTGAAACTACGCAACAGCGATGTTATATACGTAAAGAAAATATTCTTTTTAATCGTAAATGTTATTTCATTATTATTTTTTGTATGATTAACGTTATATTAATAGTTATAGAAATATAAGGATATTTGCAGTAATTTATTCGGGAAGATAGTAATTTATTCGGGAGTAGCTCGGTGGCGTAGTGGATAAGCGCCGCAGCCCACGATCGTTATCGTTAAGCAACTATCGCAAGGGTCGGTCACGGGATGGGTGACCAAAAAATTATTATCTCGAGCTACTCCGTGCTTCGGAAGGCACGTTAAGCCGTTGGTCCCGGCTGCATTTGCAGTCGTTAATACCCTCCAATCCGCATTGGGCCAGCGTGGAGGGTCATGGCCCATCCTCCTTAACCATCCATAAGGAAGGCCTGAGCCCCTGCAGTGGGGACGGAAAAGGGCTGATGATGAGACATGTTTTTTCTGCACTGATTTTAAAATCTCCCATTTTTATAGCTTTAGTTTAAATTTGGCTTTGAAAATGGTATTGAAAAACCAAGCTAGTATGGTAAAGATCGAAAAAAAAACTAGTTTTTTTTTCAATATCAGGTTATATGACGACGATTGGGTATAAAAATGCAATTCCATTGAGTCCGTCAGTCAGATAATAAAAAAATATTAGATACGTATTTTTTTTACTTCAATTTAACGAGAAATAGCTTAGATAACAGGCATTAGAGTTGAGGAGTGGGGGCTCGCTACGTCACAGTTTTGTAGAAAACGTACCATAACGTGACGTCATGCGAAATTTCAACTCCATGTATCGCCGTAATTTTATGATTACGAAAAAAAAAACCTGTTTAATATTTTTTAACACTACTTAACGGACAAACAAAAATAAAAATTTGTCGTCTTCCCATTTGTCATAGATAAAGCATGCAATTTTTTCAGTCTATATTTTTACGCTATATCCCTTACAGGGTAGGTAGAGAAAATTGGGGGCCACAAATACGATCTTTAGATACATCTTCCGTTACGTTTGTTATTCATTCATTTTACATTATTTTTTTCATTACATTACATGATCGCCTGTCTCTGTATTTGGACTGAATTACTAACCATTTTGATTTTGAGACAGTAATTAACATATTTTCTTTTTTTTTTGTTTCAGATCGGTAGTATGTTCAGTGAAAAACATATTCGACATAACATCAAGATGGTATACATTCGGTGATGGTGGTCAGCGGATTAACAACGATATTACTTAATTATTGGTGTTATAATAGTATCTTACATAATATAAATTAACATGTGACTTTGTGTGATATTACTGTTTAAAATTATAAAGTGTCTTAAATTCGACAATAAAGGACAACGTAGTGTAATTATAATATTAGTGAAGTTAAAGGCACATGGTGTTCAATGGATAACGAAACTTTGAATGAGAAAGTAAAAAATAACGGCCACAGAAATGAGAAAAAGAAAAAAGGGGATAGTGATAATGTCGATACAAAAGTAACTGATACGTTCACGGAAACAAAAAAAATGGAGGAAGAAGACAGTAGATCGTGTAGTTCTACTGATAGTGAAGATCTAGTAAATGCCATGAATTACAACACTATCACATCACTAGCAGCTTTAAAAGATATAATTCAAGGTGAGGGAAATGATACACCAGAAACTGATAGCTTTTTTCAACACTACTTCATGAATCATTGTAATAACCTCTCCAGTCGTAATTCCAATCCGAACCCACCGTTTCCTTTTCCTGAGAGAAGAAGATTATCACAATGTCGAGAGGAAGATGAAGACGACGAGAAAAAAGAAGTTGATAAATTTACATCGATAAATCCAAAGTCTAAATTAAGAGATAGCACCAAGTCTCTTACGGAAGAAAGTGGTGTAGATATAGAGGACGATGTTCGAAATGTGACAGATCATTCTGGAGTAGCATCAAATGAGATAATCGAAAGTAATGAAAGCAATGATACTACAAAACGTATGGTGTTAGGACCGAAGCATAAATTTCTTGTGACTACAGCAGGATCGCCGCCATCGCGAGCCCCCGTAGAAAAAGCACTTCGATCACAGGTTCACAATGCGCATACGGTTCATTTTGGCACTAAGGGAGCGGAAGAACAAAGACCTAGCGTACGATCTATTTTCGCAGGACAGAATCTCCACCGTGACAAAAATTATTTTGATAGTAGTTTAATTGAAATTAGATCTATAGTTGATGGAGTACCGACTAGTTCAGAAGATATCTGGGTTAAAAGAAAAGAGGAGAAGCAAGTGAGTTTCAAATTTTGTTGGTGTTTATATATATTTTTTTGTAACTTGCTATTCATTTATCTATTTAAATTTACAGACCACATTTAAGGAAGAACAACAGACCAAAGTTGACAATTCCACTCGTAAAGAAGATAAGAAACAACCGCCAACGGAGAAGACAGATGTAGTAAAGCGTAATCGCTCGGGTACTTGGGGCTCTCAAATCACTCGCAAAGATGTAGAAGTGGTTTCTAGGTCACCTGTACGACGAGAAAAAGATGTAAGGAGGATCAGCGACGATAGGCGTCAAAAAAGAGGTCAGTATCATAAAAAATATACACAGTTACTGAAAAAAATTTGCTAAATAGCATAGTGCTAAGTTTATTATCAAATAAGTGTAGCTCCTGTGTTGTTGGCAGGTAGTAAATATAGGATTATTAGTGACGATAAGTGTTTGTTCGTGCTCCCCGGTAATGTTTGCCAGAGTGTGCGTCCACATATTTGCGCATTGCCCGCATCAGCTGGCCCATGGCCAGAACTAGTCATAAGAATCGATGCAAACATTTGGAAAGATTCTAAAATTTAGCTGAGATAAATAATTATATTGTGGCGCTTACTCCACATTTGACATATTGTAGTTTGGAAATGTCAAAGTCTATCTGGCCAAATATATTTGGAAATATTTAATAAATGTAAAAAAACGACAACCTGATTATAGTTTTTATAATTTAAAAGTAACTAAACTTAATTACTATACAAAAACGCTAATAAAACATATATTGTAACAGCTGGTACAACAATATGTAGAAACTAAATTTATTCCAATTTTTTTGTTATTAAAAGTAACTTTTACACAAACAATCAAAGGCGTAACAAAGTCTAAGAAATTTCAGATTCAAAGAACTTTAGTCTACTTATATATTTATCTACTGTAGTTTAACTTTAACTTGTTATGGTCCATATAATGCATTATTAAAAAAAAAAACTATAATTGAAGTGTGTACAGTAAATCCCATGAACTTATATTATATTATGGGGTCATTTCGCAGTTCAGTCTGCAGTCAGTCTGTATGGTTTACATATTGAATAATAGTTTATATTATGTTTGTCTACATATAAATACCATGAAGGACGAATTAATAACGAATCTGTACGTTGTGATTTGTATATGATATTAGATGATTTGATGTAGGTATCTTAAAAATTTGCACATCTTTAAGCTTCTTTTATTTTACGATCGTCATGTCTTCGCTGTAATATTATACCGAGATAGAACAAATTAAATATTGTACCAAATTACACAATATTTAATCATTCACAATTAATATTATAAACAAACCCATTTCTATTATAATATTAATATGCGAAGCAAAATTATTATAGCCTTTTTTTATTAAAAATGCGCTGTCGAAAGAGTATGAAATTGGGTTCCGTTATAGTTGAACAGAGAAGAAATTCAGAATGCTAATATTAAAACTTATAGCCTATGATAATAAAACCTTAATAATATTAAAAATAAGTGACCGCATTTCGACCATTAGTTTAAAAAGAAGTAAAAACTTAGTTTGTTATGGTGATGGTTGTTTGACCTAAACACCAGCGCTCGTCTCTAACTGCTCTGACTAAAAAATACTATAAAATGTTTTAGACAATAAATAGTTATTGCAGTATCGTCTAGGAAATGCAACAAAACACGGTATTAATCGTAATTAGATACTGAGAAAGGTCATTCGAAAATTTTAATTGGCCCTAGCGAGATATTCGTATCGTAAAATGAATTGCACATTACTGAATAGAGATAACACCTTCAGTATATCTAGGTCTAAGCTGATGTGAGAGATAATGTCGAGTCCTTGATTCTAGTCAGGCCATACGTTTGACACAAATGAAGCAATAATAGTACGTATTATTCAAAGCAAAAAGATTTTTCTAAGCATATGGCTAAGTACGGAATCACAATTTTTTTAGTAAAAAAAAAAAAATGTAATTGCATCACAAGCTTTAATAGTTTAACACATTTTTTAAGCGGTACCATTTCAGTAATAAAATCACCATCGTTATCATCAGCTCTTTTACATCCCCACTGCAGGGGTTCAGGCCTTTATGAATTGTTAAGGAGAACGGCAAATGCAACCGGGACCAACGCCTTAACTTGCCCTCCGAAGGACTGAGTAGCTCGAAATAATAATTTTTGGTCACCTATCCTGTAACCGATCCTTGCGAAAGTTGCTTAACAACAACATTCGCAGGCCGCGGCGCTTATCCACTACGTCACGGAGCTTTACAGTAACAAGTTTGTTACTTACAAATAGGTGTAACTTACAATAAAGGGATTCATGTTCGTATTTTCTTTAAAATTTTGACAATTTAAAAATTATTATCAAGTGGTATGTTCAGATTGAGTTTGTCTTATAACGAAATTTTAAGTTCCAACGAAATGCGTAGTACCTAAATGTTGCAATAGTCACGTTGTTTTGCTAATGGTTATTTTACAAGTGCGTTTGGAATTTCCTGCGCCACTGCTTGATGCATAAATGTATGAAATTTCTTTACTAAGCATGCGGTTCTATTACAAGAAAGTCAAACGCATAATGTGCTTGTTATTAATTAGTAAATGCTAATCGTATATTTACAGATTTGTCTGTATATCAATATAGTTTACGAAGGAGATGCGGCAAAATGGGCCATGTCTATGAATCTTAAAGAAATTGATGAATATTTATTATTTTGTCTGTAGGTACTACATTTACTTAATGTTAAAATAAGTTAGTATTTTTGGACTGAATTAAAAGCTAATAATGTTGGTGACGTACAATAAAAAAATCGGAAACCGGAACCGGAAATATGTCAAAGATCTGAATTGTTGATATTGGCTTACGGATCGAATGTCATCTTCCTTCCTATTGATTTTTTCGCCTTGTCAAAAGTTGTCAAAGGTCTTGTACCATTTGCCTTGCCTCCATAAATTAATGGACATCTTTGATCCGGACATTTAAATGTAGTTACTTTCATACAGTTTATTTTTTTAAATAAAAATATACTCAAATTGTTATATCGAAAGTAAAAGAACATTAGTCATTCTAATAGATATTTTTCCCTAATATGCTGATCGACAGAAACGCACGATGCTAGTCATAGGGACTTTAGATTTAGAGGGTACATTCATCTTGTCTTATTTATTACGTAGAAGTCTACTAAGATCGGATTTTTGGAAATTTCAGTTGGAATAGGGTTAAATTGGGTGAAAGCATGTGGATAAAAGTTAATTTGTTTTTGCCGTTAGAGTTTAAGACCCTACAAAGATAATAAAGTTTTATTTTATCTCGAAAACCACCACGTAAAGGGATGAAAATGGGAGTTGAAGTTTTTATAAGGAATCCGTATGATACTATTTGATTTGTCACTGTAATAAATCTATCTAATATTATTTATAAAGATTTTATTACATGATGATTAATATTGGTATATGAATAATTTACAACAAAAAAGTTTTTGTTTATAAAAAATAAAAACTAACTAAAAAAGAAAGATACTTTCTATGTATTTTGAGATAATCAAGATGAAGAAATCGCGTTATTGTTTTGATCAAAGAAATTTCCCAAGAATTCAAAGTCTAGCTCTTTTGATAATTTGATATTTGTTGAAAAAAATTGTGTTGTAACTTTCTTTTTTTTTATATTTTTGTGGGATTACTTTTATTTGACTGATGTTCTATTACCCAAAACCATGTTGCAATGTCAATATTATGTGACTATATAGGCATTATAAATATAAAAATAAAATATAATAACCACATTATTGGCCCTTCATAAACGTCACAAGAATTTTATTTATTTAGCATAAATTTAACTACCAACTTTAAAATAAAAAGTTTTTATGTATTAATTACTTGTATTAATTAGTATTATTTTACTTGTCTACCTACCCTCATCTCCTGTATATTTCTGCAGTCATTTTTCATCGTTATGCAGAGATTTAATATCGTTCTAATTTTAGGGTTTTTTGGTTATTGACAAGTGTAATCTATATATATAAAAATGAATCGCAAAATGTGTTGGTAAGCGCATAACTCAACAACGCCTCGACCAATTTGGCCAAATCTTTTTTTAAAATGTTCGTTGAAGTTCAAGGATGGTTTTTACGGCGAGAAAAATTAGAATTATTGCTGGAAAAACCCTAAAAATAGCCCTTTTCTTTTTCCCATACAAATGATTTGTAACTAAAACGTAGTCAATTTGAGCTTTATTGCTATGGTATAAAGTTCATATTAAATTACAAGCACTCACTGTTGTCTAAGCAATGTAGGTGTGTTCCTAACGTCAAAGATCATATCTATCACAAAACAATGTGCGTGTGTGCGTTGGAGCACAGAATACATAGTTGGAGGAGTTTAATGTCGCGTTCCGAAACTCGCGTTTCTTTTGTATTAGTTTCGGCACGCGAGATAAAATGCATCAGTTTCCACGTCATTACATGTATTGCCGGAACATTGATGAAAATACGCTCTGTAGTAGCAAAGCTGTTGGGTCCTAGATAGCTCATTGGTTAGAGCAGTCCCTGGATCGCGAATGGGTTCGAGTCCCATTCCGGGGTACAGGTAGATGGATTCTTCCAGCATTTTTCCTTGAGAATGTTTATATATTTTTTTAATTCGAATAGTTTACTTTTATAATGCTGTTGTGTGTAATGTGTTTTTATGATCATAAAAATCTCTTTTTTCTATATTTAATACTATTACTATTAATACATTGCAATAATAATTATGATTCACATGATTAACAATAAAGCGATTACTTACTTTTAAATCCTTATATATGTTTTATTTAATTATTTTTTATTCACAACGCCCTATCACCAGGGTGACGGTTCTGTTCAGGAGAATTTTTTTAAATACGTAGGCAAAAAAACTGCCACATTACAAATCTTTTTGACAGGACGAAGTCTGTCGGGTCAGCTAGTTTGAGTATAAATTTAAATACCAACTCTCAATAAAATAAGCAGTTTTTATGTATCTACCCTCAATTTATTAATATTATTTTACTTATCTACCTTCTCTCAGCTGCTGTATATTTCTGCAGTCATTGTTCGTAGTTATGCAGATATTGACTATTTAATTCATTCTTCGCAGAGATTTAATATCGTTCTAATTTTAGTGTTGTCTGGTTCTTAACAAGTGGTGTTTTGTGACAGTTACTAATTTATTCCTGATCATGTCTGGTATTCCAATCACGAGTAGTGTTTATTTTTGAAGTTAAATATTGTGATTTATCAATGTAGTACGTTAATCATATTCAAGAAAATGGTATCATAAAAATATGATTCAAAAAGCACATGTTCTAATAGTTTTAGAATGGAAAAACAAGCCATTGAACTGCCAAATTGCGAAAAAAGCCAAGAAAACGGTTATGATTTATAAAACTAATTTATCAAGCACGTTGTTCCACGTGATCTGATTGTATAAATAAGTTATTTTAATGACATCCAGTGGCAAATACGAATATTATCATATGTTCAATATAAATTATTTATTTGAACTCAATTCGTTCTGATTTGCAATTATACTCCTGTTTTAGCTGTCTGTTTTCATTGTGTTTTAAAGCGGACACATTTTGATTGTATGGCCACACCATTTTATTTAAATCTATATACAAGAACATTGATTAAATGAATAACTAAATTTGCTTTTAAATGGATTCGTATACTTCAATGTAGATCTAATACTTATGATCTCTTATCGTTAATCTGTATATTTAGTATTAACAGTTTCGTAATTCTTATCTCTTTGTCTGTGTCTAAAGCTCGTACTTTTTATACGCACACGTTAAATTCAAAATGGTATCAATCGCATATTTAAAATTGTATTAAGGATAAGAATAAATTAAAAAGGGACTTGGGAGTTGTTATACAAAAAAAAAACAAGCTTTTCTTTTTCGTTTAAAATATTCAGAATATTGAAATTCGTACCGCGAAAATTTACGTTTTTAATAACTTATTAGTTTACGGTTATATTCATTACGTTGATATGTACTGACAATATTAATTTCACGATGATTAGGAACAATATAAGTGACGACAATTTTTTTTTTTACAGAGCAACGTCTCGATGCTGCGATCACGCGTAGCACGCAATCTGTGGGAGAACGCAAGCGTCGGGGATCAGCTGACGATGGTCAACATCACACAATGTATCAGCAAACTATACACGGTAATGTAATCTATTTATAGTTCATTTTGTAGAACTAACATTGAGTCAGGTGATTGTAAAATAAATTGACACAGAATAATCTCCACTTTCATGGTAATGTCGCCTATATATCACAATAGCAGATTATAGAAAGTTATATTTCTATAAGCACATTTTTTTTTAGTTTACCTATTAAATATTAGTTTTGGAAAGGCATTTCTTTTTCTCAATGACGTGAAGGCGTCGGAATAGTTACTACTATGTGTAATAGTATTACTATAAAATGGAAAAGAAAATACTGAGTACCTATGTATATTATTTTTAGAATGATGGTTTAATTACGGAATTGCTACCATGTACCTTATATTTATCGAGTTCCCGGTATCACGGATTACAGTTACTCCGTGATCATGGCGCTTGCAACAGTGGCAAAATATCGGGAACTCTATAAATGTACAGTACATGGTAGCGATTCAGTAACTAAAATCATTCTGTTGTTAATGACCGTGAAAGTATAATATAACATATATTATTTCTTATTAGGAACCTCTGGGGTGAGCCGTAGACCGGCTCTTTTCGATATATTCAAAACCAAACCGCGTGGTGACAACAAAAAACCAGCTTCTATAATGCAGCAAGTCAAAGCGGCTGTCCAGGTATATATTATTATGTAGTACAGGCGTAAAAATAGGGTGACTAGCAATACACCGCCGGACCCCAGTTGGAAACAGCCCCTTGGTCAGAGAAGGCCGTGAGATTAGGAGGATTGCAACATTTAATATTACGTTTTAATAAAAAACTAGTGAAAGTAAATTATATAAATATAAAGGTTATGTAATGGAAACCAGCAAGCTGATCAACCCCAATATTATTTATTTGTTAAGATGGTTCATTATTACCTCTGGTTCTCCAAACTTGTTACTCGTGTTCTAATATAATGATTATATCTTGTTTACCAGGACAATTTGACTTCAAATGATTTATTACCTGCTTACATTAAAATATAACTTAGAGATTGGACTATTGGATTAGTAAAAAAAGTCTCTAATTATTAATGTGTCTTCGCAGAGCATGACCAAATCATATCCGACCGGCAAAGAGATACCAAAGACAGAAATACCAAAATCTGATGTAAAACCAGAATCGAGCAGCGCTACGGGTGATGTTACTGCTGCTTCAAAGTCCAAAGACGGTTCGGCACATCCTCACCCTGGGAGCCATACACGAGTGAGTTATTACTGCCCAAAGTGAATTTATTGCTGTACATAAGAAAAATAATAACACTTCAACGTAGGTCGCTTTATTAAAGTAAAATACAGGAGACAAATACTAAATATAATAATAGGGTTTAAAATATGAAATAGCCGATTTGTACTCAAGAAAACTTCTTGTCACGTATATAATTGTCCAAATAACGCAAAAAATGATAGTCCGTTGGAGTAAGGTCTGGCGAATACGGAGGATGACGAATGGTTCCTGAAGGGTCAAAACGGTTTCTCGTGCTGTATGAGGTCTCGCGTTGTCATGGAGCAATAATGGTGAAGATCGATTCATGAGTCGGGGCTGTTTTACTGCTAGTTTTGCCAACATTGTTCGGAGTTTGGCACAATAGACATCTGCCATTATTGCTTGACCAGATCCGAGAAAATTATAGTGAATAATACCTTGCTGAGATCACCAAACAGTTACCATTACCTTTCTATTGGTAAGTTTTGCTTTACGACACTGTTGTGGCGTTTGACCTGGGGTCAGCCATGGCATTTTTCTTTTACGGTAATAATAAAGAATCCACTTTTTATCACATATCACAATTTGATCCAATATTCCTTCATTCCTGTACCGATTCAACAAGGCAACACAAGTTTCAACACGCGTTTCTTTCTGCAGATCAGTCAAATCACGAAGCACCTATTTTTCGTATTTGTTATTTTATTGATTTGACGCAAATGAGTCAATATAATATTGGTATAAGGTAACGTTAAACCATGCCGCTAATTCCTGGGTTGTTTAACTAGGGTCGGCTTCCACCATCTTTCTTAATTCATCGTTATTCACCTGTGTAGGCGGTCTTCCTTGTGGCTCGTTCTTCAAGTCGAGGTTTCCACCACGAAAGCGTCTAAACCAAAATAGCATGGTGCGTTCATTAGTAGACCCCTCTCAAAACGTAACATTGATATTGCGGGCTGTTTCTGCCGCGTTACTTCCGCGTCAGAACTAGTATTAAAAAATCACTCGAATTTTCGCAGTATCCATCTTTCTTGTCTAAGTTGAATAACAAAAACAATTGAAAGTTCACCATAGAAACAACGTGAAAAAAGTTTCTTTCAAAAACCTTAAACCATGAAGATTCTATGTCAATTCAAGGAACCTATTATAATAAAACGGCAATTTTATATTCTAACCCCTAATATAATTAAGAAAATAATAAATATCATTAAGAAAACACAAGTTAAGACCAAGTTAGACCCCGTTTATATCAATGTCATGGTTAAATCTGAGTTAATTTTTTAGCTCCCAACCAAACTCTTAAAAAACCACACTTTTTCATCACCAGTTACCAGTTTCTTCAAAAATGTTTGGGTTTCATTACGCCGTAATAAAGAATCACAAATGAGTACACGGTTCGTTAGGTTTCTCATGGGGGCTATATATTCAACTTTTTTGTGTACCCAGCTTTTTTAAAATCTTCCGAAATAATTTTGTGGTCAATCCCCAGTTCTACAGCTACGTCGTAACTACTGATATGCCTTGCTCCACTTATTCAAAGATGGTATACATTTTATTCGTAACTGGGCGACCTGAACGACATGCACCTTAGACATCAAAATTTATGGACTGAAAACGCTTAAACCAGACTTGGTCCATAAACATCACTAATTTTTACATTGCATTTTTACTTTTTTTGCATTAAATTTTAAAATGTATCGAATTTTTTCATTAGATTCACTCATTTTGACAGAAAAAAAAATATGAAATCACTCATTTTCCTAATTTGAAATCAGAGTTATCTCCTCTAAATTTTTAATGATACCTTAACCAGCCAAAGACACATGTAATAGCCAGAAAGATTTTATTACAAGTTTATACATGCATAAAGACTTCTCTAACCTTTTATTTGTAAAAATATTTCTTTCCGCTGTTTGGGTGGATTGCCTGAACATTGATCAAAAAGTTCTTGAAAAATTCGTCAGTCCTGTTGGGTCCTGAGTAGCTCAGTGGTAATAGCAGATTGCGAAATTTCGTCTGTTCGAGTCCCATCTCAGAGTACTTAGGGTGGATTATTGATTACTATTTATACATTTTTCATTAAGAATAAATGTACTTAAATTTAAATTATTCGTATAAGAGTCATTTAAAAAAAAAAGCCCCTCGGTTTCGTGTTCGGTCGTTTGTCCTGTAATTAAACCACTATTATATTTATTTATGCTTCGTTCGCCATTGTCTGCATAATTCACTCGTCTAGAGCTAGTCATTAGCATTGTCACGTCACGTCAGTATTTTCTACCTGACCCAGCATAATGGTGTATTGCTCATATTGCGCGGTGCATTGTCCTAGAAATGCTGACTTTGCACTGGCGTTGACCTGGACGGTTGTTGCTACTGATTATCGTGTAAACTATATTTTGATCTAATTGTACTTTGCGATTGTATCGAATTATTCGGTGTATTTGTAATTAGAATTGTTGTTTGACTTAAGCAAATTTGAATTAGGTCGTGAAGTGTAATTTTTTGATGTATAATAAATATGGGTATTAGTATACTGAGGTCTATTCTGAAGGTAAATTTTAGTATCGTATCGATTATTATTGTTAAATTTGCTTCTTGGAAATCAACTGCCTTTAAGGTGATAAGGTGGATTGATGATACAGAGGTCTATTGCAACAACCCCTTGTTGACTTTTGTATACTGTACTTTTTTCTTATGTTACTCTATAATATTTGTTTCTTTTTTTGTCGTAGTACTATCATACAGTGACCGCTTCTGCGACCCGGCGGCCTAGCGCTATGGCTAAAGTAATGGATATATTCCGTGGCAGAGCTTCTATACCGGGTCAGGCTGTGTCATTAGAAGGGCCCGATAAGAGGAAAGCGGTAAGTCATTTATTTTTGTTAATAAAAATCAATATTTTCTCTCATTTTTTTACTAGTGGTTTTTTCTCACCAAACAATAAGTAGATAATTCGTTAGTTGCAAGGAATTTCTTGTTGTTTGGAAGAACTCATTACTTTATCTTAGATAAAACTTAATATAGACTACTCTACTAAGTTTGGTCTGTGAAATGATCATTTGCAATATGTTTATAGAATAAATAATGGTATAATTAAGGTATTTTGAGGTCGGTATTTAAGTCTCTCGATGTTGGTATCATCGTCTACCGTACGACGCTGACGACGCTACAGCTGAGCACAGCCCTTCCTCATAGATATAGAAAGATCCATATAATCGATATCAAAGAAATAACTTTTCTTAGTTTAAAATAAACGTTTATTAGAAAGACTCGTTTTAAACGGCCCATTCAAAGACACTTGTATAAATATTTTTATTAAACAATACATACCTAACTCGAAACACGGGCTTGTTTAAGTTTATACAAATGTCCCATAGATATTTTTTCTGTTTTCAATTATATATATAATATAATTGCATTATATAATTTTGGTTTTCATCAAAAAAATATTTAAAATTTCCAAATCGTTACAAGTAACACGCTCACGCGATCGGATCCAAGGTGTCCGTGCTGCAAAGTTTTTGCACGTGAGGGTCACGCTCGAGGTAAAATAAAATTTTGCTGATATAAAATAATATGTGTAATACCTTATGCTATCAATGTTCGTAACATATTAAGAAGGCAAAAAACTAAAATTTGTTTATTTAATAGGGTTACTTACAAAACGTACATATTATTTGTAGTTTTATTTACTATATTTAACAATTTAATTAATATTAATGTTAATATGTAGTAGGTATTACTACAGCTTAATTTAAATTATAACATAAGAATGGCGAAGCTTTACAGAAAAAGAGGAAGAAACCGAATATCCTATATAACTAAAGAATAACCGCGAATAGTTTTATTTTCACGATGTGAATGATTTTTCTTACTTTGCATTATAAGAACAGCTACAGGTGACGTGATTCCCTCTTATTTTCTAATTGCCCAATTGTCCACGTAATATGCGTCAAACATATCATAAAAGTTTGAGCACACATTTACACAACTTTTCTGTCTTCCAAACTTGCTTTCACATGAGTTCTAGTTTTGTATTTGGAAACATTTGTTGCAAAGGTGGTCGATTAAACTATTTTGTATTCGAAGCCATGCGTTGTTTTCAAGGATTTTTCAGATCACATATTGAAGACATTGTTTAAAGAAGCTCGTGAAATTCATCCTCACTCTACTCTATTATTAACACAAATAATACAACACAACACTGATGCTAAACATTCAACCTATGCACAAATTTGCAAATGCCCGTGTCACACTTCGCGTTTATGTAATATTTGAGTATATATCTGGCTTGGGCATTAGCCTGTATATAGACAAAGAGTCATTAATTTTGACCTAAAAATTCACTAACGTGTCTGGTGATGTGTTATATCTCAAAATGTAGCTTATTTTTTACTTATTTCTTGTATCGTAAGTCTTAAAATAGATCCAGGATAACATTATAAGAGTGATTCGGCATGACTCTGATATTATGCATACATGACATAAATGATTATTTAATCATCTATATTCTCACAATGGATGGATGAATAAATATAGTTCATTTATGAATATCATTTTATTTAAATAAAATAATTTAAAGTACTTTTGAAGCATCCTACATGTTTTACTTAGCAGTCGTTTAGGAAGTCTTTAGGCTGATAAAGGAGCTAGCTAAAAAAACTGCTCAACTCAATGTCTTAACCAAATCAATATTAACAATCTAATAAATAAATATTAGATAACATCACAAACATTGCTCAGATTTCAATTTCCAAGATGAGTAGCTTCTCCGTGTATGGAGTTTCTGAGACAACGACGGTACCAACCCGGGACAATATAGAGCATACTATTTTCTATGATTCAACCAGGAATCGGACCTGGGATCTCAGAGTCAGCCACACATTGAATCCGGAGTGCGAACCAGGCTTATACGAAGATCATCAAAGGGTAACTTATTAGATGAATCATGGAGGAAGCCACAAGAGACTTCCCATGAATTCGTTACCGGCACTTCATAATCTCAAGTACTTTTTCCACTAAACACAAAACGTGTTTTATAAATTCTAGTTTCTTTTTTTGTAAAATATAAATATAAAAGGAAGATATTGTATATAACATTTAATGTTTTCTAACACAACTCGTAAAACAAAATAAATGCAATTCGAATGCAGATGTAAATGCAGACACTTCTGTAAGATATTGTGAAGCGAGAATACTTGATCCGTGCACCCCTCCACTTCTAAACCCCCTTGAGTCTCCCGAGGCATTCAATTATATTAAGTATTTTACCGTACATTTTAATATGATGAAACTAATATTTATTTAATGGATGGCATAGTCAATAAGTAAATCCATACGTGAGCCCTTGCCTTTATACTAGGGAATGATTACAGCGTGGATGAGTCCAATCGTTGTCGGATTATTATTTAATAACTATCGGCTACAAACCATTACGAATATTGAAGTGCTAGTGTTGAAATGTGAAGATGTATCATTCATATACTGTAACTGTTGATAAAAACATAAAATATTTAAAAAAAAATTGTTGTACTTGACAGGATTTTTTTTTTCTGTATTCTGTATGAAGTTTATTATTTTATCTGTATGAAAAAATATAAATTTATGTTTTAGTGACTGCTAACTGATATAAGCGATTTGCTGCATGTGGCCTCTTAAGTTATTGACGTATTTTACATTTAAATAACAATAGTTTCATCTGAGATGCACTATAGATACCTTCATAACCTTTTGTTATAAAAATTCACAAAAGAGTCCCAACTAATATATAGAATGCTAATATAATATTATACTCTTATCTGTTCCTATATGATTTTGTTGTCAAAATCTTTAGGGAAAATAAATCCTATAGTATTATTATCCTATACCTAAATGGAGAGGTAAATTTTATTCTCAGATACAGTGAATTTTGGGAAAGAACATAGGACAGTCTTGTCGCGAAAAAACAAATTGAAAAGAATTTACTGTGGGCCGTGGTATGTAAGAGTGGGTTTAATACAAACGACAAAACAAGACGAAACCACATCCCAATGAGATAGATATGGCCAGAGGATGCGTCAAAAACTATTTTATTATTAATCAATCTCAAACTATGTTTGTCGTAAAAGTTCTTTGATACGAAGTGACTCATATTTTTCTTCTAATAAAAAACTATAGTACCTACCCAAACTTGGAGATAAAATCAAAAAATAACGATGAACTTCAGAGGTAACTTTGTAATTTTATTCTATAGAGAAAATTTTATAAATTAAATGTCAACCATATGTCGATGTAGATTTTTCATTATCATTCACAGCTTACTCGGATTGGAATTTTGATATTATATCTTTATACAAAACCAAACAATCATACGAATTGAGAACCTCTTATTTTCGAAGTCTAATTTCATATAGAAAAATATCGGCCAAGTGCATGAAGAAGAGTTGTGTACCATTATCTATAAAAAGAACGTCAGATCACGTTTCTTGTATGGGAGCCTCCTTAAGTATTTATTTCATTCTTTTTTAGTATTGTTTGTTTACCAGTAACAGAAGTATATCATCTGTGAAAATCCATAGATATATCTTAGTGATGGGTCCTATTTTACCCTTTGGGTATGGAACTCCAAAAATGATAAAATTGTTACTTAGTCATCGTAAATGTTATAATACTCTTATCGTTTAGTTATCATAATGTATTTTATACTGTTTTCATGTATAAATAAAAATGATAGATCACTTTTAAAAAACGTACGTATCAATTATTTATTATCAGAATACGGCATATTTTCAAAATTTCTTTATGTGCCTTACCAAATTTGACAAGTTCAATTCAATAAAAATGAATGAACGCTTACATTATCGATATAAATTAAGATAGGTTTAGGGTGATATGTCTGCTGTATTGTCTGTACAGGATTTTACTTTATAATTTTAAAAAAGTATTAAATTTTTCATCAGTGCATTTTAATTGTTAGAGTATCTCACCTATCGGTTTCAAGTTTTAAATGTTGTTAATCACATGATTAATATAAATATCCTTACTTGTAATAAAGACCTGATAAGTTTCTTAAGATTGTTCTTTTTGTCATTCAAAAGACGTCTTGGAGTGGTAGGGATAAATCATTTAATTTAAATAACTTTTGTTAATACTTGAAATCTTTATCCTAACAAGTCATAACATGTAACTATGTTTTTATTCCATTGTTTGCTATAAGGACTCTATTCGACATTTAATCTTCCGTTACCAAGACCCTTACATAAAAGAGAAATCATTATCCTCTCAAACACGTCATGGCATGGCATGTGTAAGTAGTGATGTTATATTTTTATCTCAATGATGCCCTATATATTTTATTTAAATACTTTTTTGTTAATATAAAACAAAATTCAGTAATCTATTTTTATATGCAAAACAAAAATATAGGTCTATTTTTTTTAAGTATTGTAATTGATCAATTTATTTATATCTGGAGAATTACGTATAAGTGTTGTTGTTTACGAAATTATTTATTATGATTTATATATAAGTCATCTATAAAAAACAGACTTTTGTATAAAACTCGAATCAGATTGTCAGAAATCATTTTATCATTGAAAATAATAACTTTTTACCTACTTATAAAAACCAATCATAAAAGAAAATTAAATGTCCAACCATAGTTGCACAAATTATAATATAAAAACGTTATACAATTTCTTTTGTGAACATACTATAATATCTATAACTATAATGTAAGTAAATACTTTTTTCACTTTACTAATCATACAAATCGTGGGACTTTCAATAAAAGCCTCGATTGGCCTAAAACTATTATAGCGTGTGTCACCATTCTAGTCTTCATATGAAATAAATAGCGTGTCTTTTTTTTTTTTTAATCAATTAA